TAGTACAACTTTAGTACGCGGAGCAATCTGTGGAGCTGGAAGCTGAGAACTGGCGACTTTGTAGTACAACTTTCGTACATTACGCCCCATATTGCGGACGTGCGACAACCGCTGGTGTTGTTGGCTAGTTGTGGCTGCGCACACCTGTGTGCACAATACCTCGTACATCCGTCGTGCACATCACTCTCTTACACCTTCTCTCCCACCCCTCTGTTGTAGGAAGCTGATATCACTTCCTGACAAGGCCGTGTTGTAGAAGCTATTGAGACTCTGACTGCTTTGTGTATTGATTATCACGAGCCCTATTTGGGTTTACGGTTTGGGCAGCGTGTTTGCGCAAGAGCTTTTCCAACGCATAAAGTGAAGATACCTGAAAATCGATGGTCCGCAATGTGCGGTGCTGAGTTTATATGAAAAAATAGTTGTACCGGCGACGCTGGGACTCTTTCTTTTTCTGCGAGAAGTCACGAGTTTACGTTGGCTCAAGCTGGCTTCTGGATCTCCAGCAAAATGTGACTCTGTCCCAATATGAGCGTGACTTACTCTAGAACTCTAGCAGTTGTGTCACCTCACAAGCAAACTACGCCACATACCAACTTCATCTACCTTTATACCAAAAAAACGAAGGATACATAAGTTCAGCATAAGTTCCCAAAGTGTATGCAAGTAGTTCAGCATATGTTTCCTGAGTTCTGCATAATATGCTGAACTCGTTCTTATCTTAGATTAGCAAGTTCAGCATATATCCTAAACTTTCTGCAGGCTCAGCATAACTTGCATGCGCATGCTAAACTTACGCTGAACTTATGCTGAGCTATGCTAAACTTACCAAGCTATGCAAGAGTTATTCTATTCTAATATGTTCTTCGACCACGCAACTTTACGAGAACTTAGTTGTAAGTCCACACGACCGGCGCTTGGTCTGCAGATTCTTTGCAAATTGTATGTTGTTTATTGAATGCTTAAACATATTCTTGATCTTCTGAAATATCCTGTGCCTTTCTTGCAATGCATTTCCTGCGATACAAAAATGACATCAACAAAAATGCACATAACCCAAAAAAGAGGCTTTGAAACTGCGTAAAACCAAACGCTGTAAAAAACACACCTCTGAACCCAACATGGTTCGTCGAAATAGACCTCGCGATAATTAGTAGCTTTGTGCTTTAGAAACTTAAGATTCGTAGATTCATATGTGGGGTTATCCGGTCCTGTAATTTTTGATCAATATCGACCAATACAAGTAGTTCCCGGGCAAGCCGGCGGCGGAAGTTTCCAAAAGAATAAACCTATATGAAAAGGGCATGTGGCAGGCTGATTCGCCGAGCTGCGATGTTCTTTGACAAAACAAATTGGGACCGACCATTGGAGCGAAAGCGAAGCAACCACCGTCAACTGTCTTGCCGTTTGCAAAATACAGAATAGAGATGACTCAGCCGCGTACTAAAGTTGTACTACAAAGTCGCCAGTTCTCAGCTTCCAGCTCCACGGCTTGCTCCGCGTACTAGAGTTGTACTACAAAGTCGCCAGTTCTCAGCTTCCAGCTCCACAGATTGCTCCGCGTAGTAAAGTTGTACTAGTCGCCAGTTCTCATCTTCCAGCTCCACAGATTGCTCCGCGTACTAAAGTTGCACTACAAAGTCGCCAGTTCTCATCGTCCAGCTCCTCAGATACTCAACGTACTAAAGTTGTACTACGAAGTCGCCAGTTCTCATCTTCCAGCTCCGCGTACTAAAGTTGTACTACAAAGTCGCCAGTTCTCAGCTTCCAGCTGCTGCGCCTGCCAGGTAGACTGGAAAACTGGAGCTAGAGCTATTGAAACTAGAGCTAACTGGGTGATGAGTGGTGTATGTTGAGTGGTGTATGATGAGTTGTGTATGATGAGTGGTGTATGAAAAGTGGTGTATGATGAGTGGTGTATGATGAGTGGTGTATGATGAGTGG